CTGGAGAGGGGATGGGGCTCTGTTGGGTGATTTGGATTAGTCATTTCATCTGGATTAGAGATTTCTTTTCACTATTTATATTCCATTTTATGATTTAGTCATGGTTCTGAAATGTTTCTGAAGGTTTTGTGGAGGTATGTTATCAAATCATTTCACCTCCTACCTTTTAAAAATAGGACACCCAAAACAAATTTCCTGGTAGAGGGCATGGATAAGAGGATTGGGAGCTGGGATAGAACATGGGCTCCTCCTCTTGAATAATCTGCATCCCCTCGATGCTTTGTGCCTCGGTTTCCTCTTCTATGAAATGTCATTTGAAAAATGAGCCTCCCCCAGGCTTGTCAGAGGATGAAAGGCAAGAATGTTCGTGCACATGCCCTGTAAGCTCTGATGTGCTCTACTGATGTGAGTTGTTTTTAGCATGATTGAAATATTTCAAAACATTACTCATAGCAAATATCAGAATCATAGAAAACAGCTAAATCATGCTCCCTGCTGGGCTGGGAGGGCTTGTGACCCCAAGGCCTGACCTTTCCTACTCTTACGCCAACAAGTAAATCTGAAGCTACCAGAAAAGCGATCAGTGATCTCTGATATTCATGGACTTTATAAATGAACCCAAGTTCTGGGAAATGGGAAAGGTAGGAGCTGCAACGAGGGAAGGGGAAGAAGACAGACTCCAGAAGGGCTGGACACAGAGGGAAAAGGGGTCAGTCCCAAGTTTGTTCATACACCTGTTCCTTTACTTCCACAACATGCTTACAGCAAAACTGCCCATCCAGATACCCAGGCAAATTCAATGGCCTGATTACATTGAGGATGACTGTGCAGATATAGTTGGTTTTCTTCTTCCCACCAGTTAGCTGTCCTTCCCTACCCACCCGGCTGTGTCAGCAGGCTGGTGCAGACACATCCAGGCAGCAAGCTGAGTGCCTGCAGAATTCACTAGAGCCCACCGCAGCTGCCAGTGCCAGAGGACAATCTTATGCAACTCACCATGCCTTCCAGAAAGAGCCCTGTAGAGAAAGGAGAAAGAAAACTGTGTGACTCTTCTCTTGACCCTTTATGAGGGGCCAGTCCTCTAAGAGGACCCTCCATCACTGCTGGAACCTCCCCCTGTCGCCCCCACCTGCCCCTGCCACACCACTGCCTGCCACCAGCCTGTGCCCAGAGCTCAAAAAGCCTCCTTCTATTGGCATTTTATTATGCACTGTCTCCAATTATTGAGACTTTACCACACTGCCACCTATTTTTTCCCTCTGCTACACAGATATGCTGGCATTAGCACAAAGCCTGGTACGGTGATGCTTAAAGGAAAATTTCTTGCCTTAAATAAAAACGTATTGTTGCTTGCAGTTAAGGAAGAATATTTGACTCGGGGGCTGAAGATTCTCAATGAGAGAATCTTAGGATTCTTATGAGCAGAGCTCAAGCAACCCCCCATGTGGAATTTCACTGCCCAGGTGCTGTGGGCAACTGCCTGGGGAGCTCGGCTTTGTCTCGCTCCTCTTCATCCTGGATGCTCACCAAGCTGCACCTGCCATTCACTCAGGATAGGTTTTCTCAAAGACGGCAGGAAATGGAACCACACCCATAGCAGAGAAGCAGCAAAGTGTTAAGAGCACAAATGTTAGAAACAGATCACTTAGCTTTAAATCTCACTGAGCCATTTTTTTTTGCTGTGTGACTTTGGGGGAAGCTATTCAACCTCTCTGAGTTTTAGGTCCCATATCTCTAAAACGAGGATAATAACGGTAAATACCTCAATGGGATGTTGTGAACATTAAATGATTTAACACATAGAAAGATAAGCATAATTCCTAGTATACAGTACTAGGACTGCTCAAAACATTGTTTTCTCAATACTTTTTTGGTTCTCATTATGATTCTTATTATATTGGTTTTCCTATTATATTGGTACACCTATCACCCACTAAATGACCACTTGCAGGTAGTGTGCTGGAAAGAATAAGGAACTTTGAGTTAACTGTGGGATAGACCAAGGATACAGTTTCCATCACCCTTGAGCTGTGGGGTTTCAGGGAGTATAATCATTGCTTCAAGTGTTTATTATGAACATCAACAGATATGAAAGTGCTTCATAAATTGTATTCTTCATAAATTGACTGTGGGATAGACCAAGGATACAGTTTCCATCACCCTTGAGCTGTGGGGTTTCAGGGAGTACAATCATTGCTTCAAGTGTTTATTATGAACATCAACAGATATGAAAGTGCTTCATAAATTGTATTCTTCATAAATTGTTGTTATTAGGAGGTTGCATCTATGTTTATGTCTTTGTGGCAGAGATGAGAGAGAGAGAGAGAGTGAGAGAGAGACCACAGAAAGCTTCACATATGGCTGATTGTTCTAGAATCTGCAACTTCATACTTCCTAATTCTGGAGTTTCTCCCAGGCTGTACTCCTCCCTGGTCTGTCTTCTTTTCCACAAGGTGAAACAGTGGGCGTAGACAAGCCCAGCACGGGGTGGGGGAGGCGCGTGGCAGGACAGTGGGGAATCTGCTCCTTCCCGGCAGGCCTGACCCAGGGCAGCTGATCCTCCACCCTCACAGAACCAAGGCCAAGAGTCAGTGTGCACAGTAGATCAGCTGATCCTTTGGCTACCAAGATTGGCCCCCCAGTGTGACCTGCAGACTGCCTGATAGGGTCTCCATAGGCCATAAACTGGGCATTTTGGGAAGGGCCACTCTACATCCTGCCCTCTCCCCTTGGCCTGAAGAGACCACCCCCCAAACCCTTTTTAAGGCTCAGGCATGCTGTGGTCCAGCCAGCCAGTGCCCTGGACTCCCTCAGCCATGACTGGGAGAGGGAGGGAGCTTCCTAGAGACTGGACGGGGCTTAGAAGGTGTGGGTGGGCTGGGAAGGGGAGAATGTCATGGCTGTGACTCCGCTGAATCCTCACCACCTCTCTGGTTAGGAAAACGCTCCCCACTGCAGAGATGAAGGAACTGAGGTTGGAGAGGCTGGGACTCAGCTGGTGAATAAGTGGCAGAGCCTAGACGCAAACTCAAGTCTGGCTGGCCTAGAGGTGCCTGCTCTTTCCACTAGGCATCTCTTGGTCAAAGGGACAGAGAGAAAAGGTGGGGAGCAGGGAACACTGAAAGCCAACTTTGCCTGGCTTTGCCTGGGGCCAGGGCTCAGGCCTGCCTGGAGACCTCAAACCCCCATGCACCAGCCTGCTCTTCCTGCTTCAGAACAAAACTCCTGTTCTCCATGACAAACCTTTGCTACGCTCTGATATCCCAGTTTCTAAAAACACACAGAAAACAAAACAAAACCAAACTAAAAGACAGCTCTAAGGTAGAGAGGGGCTTTCTGGGTCATGGAACGTGACCAACAAAATCAGATTTGGAAAAGAAGAAAAATGTCCTAAAGGTTAATGATTTAAATTCAACCCCATGTTTATGGCATGGCAATTTCATACTGGTTGGCTTTTTTGGGGCATACTTTTTCCTGGAGTGCCACAAAATTAGAATTTTTCAATCACTACCAATTCCCTCTCCCCACTTCCCCACCCAAGTTTCTACCTTAAGCATTGAGAGGCATGTTTTGAGTGCATGGAAAAGGCTAAACTATAATCATTGGCTGAAGTCTAATCCCTCCTGCAATCCCAATAAATGAAAACTAAATATCAGCAAATGGATGAATTTCGGAGAAACATCTGTGTTCCATTACAGAATCGCTGGCAACAATGGTGTTGACATACTCTGTGTTACCAGTTATTTCCTCTTGGATTTGCCGAGACTGGAGGATTCCTTCTCGTTTCTGAAAAGGGGGTGGGGACAGGGGTTGGGAGGAAAAGAGAAAAATATGCTTTAGAAAAATACAGACAAACTGAAGAGCATTCCTGATATTGAGAAAGTTACTGGTGTTTACGAAATGCACTCAGAGACGAGATAATGCTAGCATGAAAAACAGCCCTAATTTTCTGGGACTGGACTGTACCATTAGGACGTAAGTGCAATTAGTGTTTAGTCCAAACAAGTAGGCTGTTTCTTGGATGGTGAATCTTTCCTTTCTTTATTGGAAGACATTCTGCTTGGAAGCAAACTGTTTGCCTCCCGGAGTAATCCACAGTAAACCAAATGGAAACGAAGGCCACAGTGTGTCTGCCATCCAGCTGGGGCCACAGAGGGAAGCCGAGAAACACATTTAACTGGGGGGCTGGGTGGAGCAACTGAGGCCAGCGTGGGGATTCAGACAGAGACAGAGGGCTTTGTTGTTTTTGTTTCTTTAACTGATAATATGGGAGCTTTTAAATTAGTATGATCCTCACTCAGGTAACTAGCTCACTCTCTGAGAAAAGGTTGAGCACTTTGGAGTCTCGCCCATGCAGCCATCCATCCGTCCGTCCATCTGTCTGTCATCCATCTACCCCTCTCCCTTAATTCATCCTCTTTCTTCCTTATTTCATCAGTGCCTTCTATGTACAAGGCACTGAGCTGGAGTTAGAACAGACACTCTGGAGCATAGGACATGGTTTCTGGCCTTGAGAACTTAGAGTAAAATGGGGGAGATAAAGCTGGTATGTGAAAATGGCTTCCCCAAAACTGTCCTGGTTTATGCTTCATGTCCCAGTTTAATTATTAATAGGATCCCCTTTCACTCTCAAAAATGTCATGGATAATAAATTATGTGGCCACCCCATGCAGAGAGGAGGTGCTGGATGCAGGACAGGAGCAAGCACTTTCAGCTGGGGTGGTCGGGGAAACCTTCCAAGGGGAGGGGGTCTTGGAGCTGGTACTTCAAGGCCAGATAGGATTTGGCAGGACACCAGTGGGAGGTCATTCCAGTGGGAGGGACGGCTCCAGCCAAAAGGCAGAGTCAGGACTGCACAGATGTGTTCAGGAGGCTGCTTGGAGGGAGGGTGGCTGCCATTAGTCGGGGGCACCTCTGAATGCCAGGCTGGAGAGTTTAAACCTCACTTGTGGGCATGGGAGCCAGTGAAGGAGTGTCAGAGTTCAGGATCACTTTCTCTTTTTTTTGTGACTGACCAGTACAGGGATCCAAACCATTGACCCTGGTGTTACAAGGCTGTGCTCTAACCAACAGAGCTAACTGGCCAGCCTCAGGAAGACTTTGATGGGCGTGAGGAGGGAGATTCATTCTATCAGGTCCCTGCACAGCCAGCACCAGACTCATGGAGGACGGTCTGGACAAGGCCAGCGGCTGACAGAGTGAATTCATCTTCCCAAAGGCTGAGAGAGGAGTGTCAGGAAGAAGCCTCTGTCAAGAAGCCTTCTTGAGCCTCCTGCCAAAACTTCCAGAAACCTCCCTTCGCATTCCCAACAGCCACAGAAACTAGCATCCTTGCAAAATACTTTTACAGAAGGCGAGGTAGAGCTGGATAAGGCCAAGAGTCTATCTGGATTAGGGGAAGAAGAATGGACTATCAAAGCAAAAAAGAAGGTAAAGAAAAAAAAAATAAAGCTATCTTAAGGGGACCAGTTGAAGATAAATTTTCCAAATTCAGTTTTGACACGTGTAAAATTTTCACATGGGACTAATGGGATCTGTATCCTTCTCTTGTGAGCCTCCTGACAGACATAAAACCTCATCTTCAACTTCATGCAGAATTAAATGCTTTTATTGAATGGAGAAGAAATCTGGGTTAAATAACCCCTCACACAGACAGCATCCCGATTCACCTCCATCCGTTATTGGCTCCCTGAAGAGTTCTCTCTGTAGTGCAGTCAGTGACTCTGCTAATCCCGAGTCCTGCTTCTGTGCCTGTTCAACCCGATAAAGCAAAACACTCCAGAAAACCTGACATGCGTTGTTGCTATTTTCTGTAACGTGTCCTCCTTTCTCCCTCATGCTAACAAAACTGCCTACAGGAGAAATTAAACCAACAGCAGCCTTCTGATGGCCTATAATTGAACTCAAAATAAGGCATGAGTTGCAGGCTTGCAAACAGAAACCCCTCTCTCCTGCTCAAATTTTCAATTGTAGTTTTTTTTGGTCTGTTGTAATTCCAACAGGCATATTTTATTATTTCTATTAGAGAGCTCTTTATTCAAGCTGGTAAGAAAAATACTAAGATGTTCAGTAAATTAATGGGCAAAGAATTGGAATGGACTGTCACAAAAGAGGTCACACAAAAGGGCAGTTTGCATAGAAGTACTTCCACCAGCAACAGAAGAGCTATAAATGAATATAACGGCAGTATGTTTACTCATGAAAAAAAATTTTCAACATTAGTGATATGTGGTCACTAAGTGCTCTTTCATGAACTGCTCCAGATATCATGATTTTTCAAAAATAGACTTTATTTCTTAGAGCAGTATTAGGTTCACAGCAAAACTGAGATTTCCCATAAGCCCCCTGCTCCCACACACGCAAAGCTGCCCCCATTATCAATATACCGCACCTTATGGCACACTTTTTAGAACCGATGAACCTACACCGACACATCATTACCCCCCAAAGCCCACAGTTTACATTAGGGTTCATTCCTGATGTTGTACATTCTATGGGTTTTGACAAATGTATCCACCACTCCAGTATTGTATAGAATAGTTTTACCATCCTAAAAATCCTTTGTACTCCACCTAGTCATCTCTCCCTCTCCAATCCTAGTTTTAAAAAACATAACAAAATGAATTCACACATTACTGACAGGGAAAATCAACACAATGGATATGGCACGTATTCACTAGGAAGATGCTTGTACCAGGATGGCCTGGGCTGGCCACATGTCCGCAGCATACATTAAGTGATTAGCAGCATGCCTGCTACGGGTGAAGAGCTCAGTAAATGAGGACAGTTAGTACCTTTTGGTAGCTGCACCGAGTGTCTGAGCCACACATGTTCACATTGTCTGTGGGCTTCTGTCCTCTCTGCTTCTTACTTGCAGTCCTGTTCCTGGCAGGCAGGGCCAAGGTTTCATATTCCTATTATACCCTCTTGATGCTTAGCAAAGTACCCAGAAGGTGTGGAAGACATACTTTTTCATTAGGGCATGACTGAGCAGTTGATTAGGAGCCCTGTCCATGTCCTCCTCCCCTCATGTTAACATCTAATCCCTGAAAGCTCAGCTCAAAGTCCTCTTGTCCTGGGGACTGGCCTGGCCTGATCAGGCAATGTTTACTAGCCCTCAAGGCACAGCTGCTATATCTTCTCTGTTCCAGAACCCTGGATGACCCTGGATATCCAGGGAGCTGCTCATGTGTGGGGCTCTCCCTTGCTGCATGTTCATTTGGAAAAGAACAGAAACAAGCAAACAAAATGATGACCTTTTGCTAAATGGGTATAAAGTTGGAAAATAAAATTGAATTTGAGTATTTAATGGGGTTAGGAATAGAGGGAGATAGTCGTGGAGAGAGAGCACACCCTCATTGTGGAAATTATACAGCCATATGTGAATGGAAATTCCATCCAACAATCTGGAAAAGATGACTTGAGATCCCAGCTGTGCTTCCCTGGGAAGGCAAAAAGCAGCAGTGCCTTTAATACAGATATGGCCAGTCGGGGTCTCTCTCAAACACACCCCCCCACACACACACCCACACACCCTTCCTTCTGTGTATAGATATCTGTCTCCCTACCGATACCTATGCATCATTTCTTTAACCAAAAAAACCACGATTCTCCATGGGTTGCAGGGTACCCGAGATGTGCGCATGCACACACCCCTCCCCCTCTCCTCCTGATGCCACTACGCACACCTCACAAGCATATATACCACACCTCAACTATACAGCACACAGACAACCTCCCAGCAATAACACGTAAACCACAGGCACACACCCCACACAAGGCTGTCCCGTGCATAGGCACACGCTCTTCCATCCTTTGCACACTTGCCAGGGCTACGCCAATATGCATGAGCAAGCGGACTCACGTGCCTCCCAACACACAGCACACCTGCGCACGTCAGCATTCATTCAGCTGTCCTCCCGCCGATCTGTGCTCTAGCTCTCACAGCATCTCAGCCTCCACAGCTCTTGAAAGGAGATGATTGTGATGGTATCCATCTTACCTGGACCACAACCACTTGGATGGAAACATGGTCTGGGAGTCGGATTGGGGCCCGGAAATACTGAGACAGAGCAACCAGCAGATGCAAGATGGCCACCAGGCTCTTGGCATGAACAGCTGAAATGAAAGAGGATTTAAAAGTTAGAGCATCTTCTTCCAGGTCCCAGCAATATAAAAAGATATTCAACATGTAGCAATACCCCACCTAGTGCCCCTTTATCCCACCCCTAAAGGTCAAGGGACATCCTTGGTGATCACAGATCTCACCCTGGGCCCCCTCAGTTCTTGGCCAGGTCCCATGGAGCTCTTTCTTACATCATATTATTGTTGGATTTCCAATGTAGTACTTTTCGTCTCTAATACCAGGTTCCTATCAGGACCCTGACAACTGCTAAGTTCTGAGATCAGATCAGCTCTCCCCTGGTCCCACTCCATTCTAATATCCACCAGCATGTCTGCTCTGCACCCCCCTCCCTCCCCACATGACTGTGAACTCTCTGGATTACCACCACTACTCTTGTCCCAAGAACATTCACGAAGCGGGCTTTCAAGAAATGGACACTCAGAAACACTGGGTCCCTTCCTTTGTTAAGGGCTTTAAGATCCCTGGAGGAAGGCATGAGAAACATCCAAAGGACACCGTTGCTGTCTTGAGTGCCAGGGATGGTCAGTGTAGACAATGCCCCTTAGGGAACAGCTGGGAGGAGATGTCAATGACCCAGGTGGCTTCCATAGCTACTAAGCCAAGGGCTGAAAGTTAAGCCATTTACAGTAGGGAAAGCTGGGCTCTATTGGGTTGTAGTTTTCTCAATGGATGAGGACGATGAGAAGACTGACTTAATGAGAACACACAGCATCAGGCAGATTGGAACTTAAATTTTTACTTTATAACTCTGCCATTTATTTACTGGCTTTATGACCTTGGGTAGGATAGCCACTCAAGGTTTCCAAGCCTTAACTTGCTCCTCTTCACAAATGGGGATAACAGTACCTATGTGGATGTAGAAGTTGTAAAGATTTCCAAAGACAGTGTAGGCAAAGCTCCTGGAACAAAACAGGTGCCCAGGAATGGCTGATATTTTGTATTATAACTTATGTAAAGTATCTGGGCACCCGGGCAACTACACCACGTCAGCTTTCTTCCCTTTCTTTCTCATAAAAGGGAAGATTTGCAGATACTTTACCTGCCTTCAGTCCTACTAGCTTCATGGCTCTTCATTACAGGGGCATTTAATGGAAGAACCCAAATGCCCATTTTGTGTACTTAGCATGCACTGGGCCCATTATTAGGGTGTCATTCTATCTTCCCTGGGATTGACAAGTCTGCTTTAGCAGAAGCTTTCAGAAATCTCCAAGAAAAGGAAATGATTCAGACATTCCTTTGGAACTCATTAGAGTTTCTTGTTATATCACTGCTACTTCAAAGAAGGTTTTCTACTGATTACGAACGGCAGTTCACCACTACCACAAATAGTAGCTAAACTGCTCTGAACTCCTAGACCTCCAGAAGGAGATTTCAGTTCTGGGCTTTCGGGCATTGTCAACCAAGTTTTACCCACAGTGACAGCCTCAGAAAAAGGCTCCTGCTACAGGGCTGACCCATGAACATGGCATGGTCACTGGCAGATGCAGGCAAACCCGGGTTTGCTCTTCTGATCAGAACTGCCCCACCACCCTCAGGTCTTCACTGAGGGTTGTAAGAACGTGTGCTACTCTCCCCCCTTTATTGGCAAAGTTTAAGGCTAGAAAAGTTGTGGTCAAACAAATTGTTCTTGTGCCTGGTGAAACTGTATGTCATCTGGCTGTCTAGGTTAGCAACACAGAGCTGTATCGTAAGCATCATGAAAATGTCAGACTCTTTCAGTGAACACTCTGTCCTCCTGGGGACTTTTTCAAAAGAAAGAATTGCACAGTCACACATAAGTGCACACATACACTCATACACACACAAAGATGTTAACTACTGTGTAATATATTATTTTTAAAAACCCTGGAAAACACTTAGCTATAATAGCAAGAGGGTGGTTTAGTGGTTTTCAAACCTTCTTTTTTGTATTAAGCAAACACACAAAGATGTTAACTACTGTGTAATATATTATTTTTAAAAACCCTGGAAAACACTTAGGTGTAATAGCAAGAGGGTGGTTTAGTGGTTTTCAAACCTTCTTTTTTGTATTAAGCAGAGAAATCCTTTGTTCTAAAAATCAATAGGTAAAACTCATGAAAAAAGTACAACTGCTCTATTGAAAGTAATAATGAGAGTCCCAGGGTCCTAGCTGCAGCCCACCCATGGCTTTTTGTCCTCTCCCCAGTGACCTCTGAGTTTCTCGTTGCAAACCCCTATTTGGACCAAGCAGTTTAATAATCTCTGCCTTAAAAAGTTATAGTATATCCACATAATAGGATAGTTTGCATGCACTGAAAATCATTAAGACAATGTAGCTATAAATATTAGTGTAATGTTAAAAGGAAATGAAACAGAAATAAGGTAAAAATATACATTTATGGATTATATCATACATAAATATATACACATATGTGCACACATACGAGCATGTACTTGTGGTCAAACACTTGGAAAAGAATATAAAATAAAAATAAAAATAGTTTTCCTGCAGCAGAAAAAGTTTTATTCAAAATATTCTCTATTCTAAAATAAAGATATGTCATCTTTTCAATTAAAAAATTTCTATCAGCTGCTGTGTATTTGTGCACCTTCACCACTGCCGCCTCTCAGCACATCTCATGGGAGTTTCCTCCCTGCTGCTTGACAGAATCTAAGGCCACCACGTGCCTGCACTCATGGCAGGATGGAAATGTGCAGAAGAGCAAGGGCCAAGGCTTCCCCGTATAAACCGGGAACTGCGGCCTCTGTGCCAAGAGTGTCACTCTGGGGCTGGAAAACAGCTTTAAAAAAGGAGCTGCTGAGTTAGAAATAGTCCTCCAAACACATCCTGTGGTGGAAATATGAACTGGTGTAACTTTTCTGGAGGCAATTTAACAATATATATTATGACTTTAAAAATGTACACACACATTAGCCCTAAAATACCACTCCTACGTATTTATCCTAAAAAAGTAATTATGGTTATGAGCAGGGAGAACTCATCAGGGTGTGCTGATATTGGTGAAAATAATGGAAAACAATCTAAAAATCCATCGTTAGTTAAATAAATTACGACAGAGCCATACAATGTCATGTTACACAATATAAAAAGTGACATACAGAAGAATATCTTATGATTCGTAAAGATATTCATTTTCCAAGGAACATAAACAGGTTGATCTCATTTTTGTAAAAATATACATATATTGTAAAAATATACATATATACTCCTTCCATATATATGTAAAGGAGTATACACTATTCATTTATTACACACACATACACAGAGGGCTTGAAGGAACACACTACGGTGTTCACAATGTCTGTCTCTAGGTGGGCAGCTTCTTATGGCAGGATGTGTAGGCTCAGTACACAGGCTCTGCAGCTGGGCTCTGGGTCTAATTCCTAGTTCCACCTATGTGACCTTGGACAGTGATGTTCCTTTAGCAAATATCATGTGCCTTAGTATGTGCCAGTTACTCTTCTTGGTTCAGGGGAGATACCAGTGAAGAGACAAAAATCCCTGCCCTCATGAAGCTTACATTCACAGTTTCTATGCCTCTCTATGCCTCGATTTTCTCATCTGTAAGATGGGGATAACAGAATTCATACCTCAGA